CTTGGGGCGTAAGCCTCACAGAACTAAGCCCCATACATGAGCCCCAGGGCGTTTTGCAAGTGCTCCGCCCAGGGGCGAGTCTCAGAAATGCCTTTTAAAATACCGATAGCAAGTATCTAATATGGGAGGACTCCCCCCATTGAACAATAGAACCTAGCAAAAGTAAATAAGGGAGACTCTCCCCTTACAGCCATATACCATGCATGTGATTATTTAGTATGCTGAAAATGGTGGGGAACTAAATCTTTGAGGGGTGTCTGGCCTAACCATCCCCCTTTCCAAAATAATGTTTTTTACCATCACCTACTTTGATGTAAATGTGTTCTAAGAACACACTCTATAAGTTTCTGATATATTTCCAATTCCCAATTCTGCTTAAAGTAACAATTCTTCAAAATGGGTTCAAATCACTAACTTATTAGCTTAGCTTTCGAGTGTACATCGACCTTGAAATTGTGATGCGGTTCTCTCACTCTAATATTTGATTCCTTTTTTGCCTATTCTCCAATTTTTTGCCCATCTTTTGTTGATTATTTTGCATCTGGTACTTCTCTTATTTTTCCTTTCTGTACTTTCTGTAGTTTGATAAGTGACTTTGTCCTATTTTCTTGATGCTGTCTAGGTCAAGGTTAATGGTCATTAGCTCAGATCAGCTTTTCAGGTACACTGAAGAAATATTATGAATGCGGATAAAGTGGCGGATAACATGTGGTAGAGAAAACGGGATGGTCTAAATCTAAAACTGGTCTTAGGATTATCAATTAAATGAGAGTAAGATGTAAAAGGAAGTGGGAATTCTGTGGAGGCATTATCAGACATTTCATTGACCCAGCAATGACATAAATAAAATTGTTGAATTCCTTAGTTTGTGTGTTTATTTTCATGAACTTCCATTTAATCAGCATTCATCATGATAAAATCGCCGTTCCTGTGAACATTCTCTTGTTGCATCCATTACAAAATAAATGTCCTTCACAGCTGGAAACACTTCTGTTATGTGGGCTTTTGTTATCTATGGTAGCTAAGCTGCTACATGTTGCTTGTTAAAGTTTAAAGCTATATAGACTAGGATCGAAAGATTATAGCCTTACGCTTAGTGGTTATCCAAATTTTCATTTCGTAGCTATATATGAATCTGAAGAATCATATTTCAGGCAATAAAAGGTAATAGTTGAAACCTGTGAACCACTCAAAGTCTCAAACAATACAATCAGGTTAAAGCAACTACGGGATTCTCTAATATATGGTGTGGTATTTAATAAATCTTAATCTCCAATTTTCCACTTTGTATATCAGCTTCTTCGCACATTAATTGATTCATTGTTTTACCATTATTAGGTTATAGTCAATCAGTGTTATAAATGGTCAACAATTGAAGCGATGCCTGCTATGAAGGTTCAGATACTAATTTCTTCCATTTCATACTCTTCTTTCTACATGTTGTCAATGTCATTTTAATCTGCAAAGATATCATATTGTGTGATATTAATATCGCATGCTATATACTTATCAAAGAAAACGAATTATATTGTGTGCTATACAAGTTACGGTTTTGGTTGTACATGTTTGAATCTTAACCATTTCTGCTCTCTTCATCTTTCTTTTTATCAATGAAGCGAAATATCCAGATCTCTAAAGGAGAAGGGTTGGTGGGAGGCATTCGGGGAAGTCGGCCCGATCTGATATCTTACGAAATCAATAGTAAATCTACAGCTGCCATTCTCAAAAAATAGTAAATTGACAGCTGCTTTAGCAACTCCAGTAAAGCCAAAAGTCTAGCTAGTGGCTTGCATTTAAGTCTGAGTTCAGTTCCTATTGAGAATAACATCTTTTACTTCATAAAGAAAACAGGAAATCTTTTATTTTGGAAGCATTGTTGTAGAAGTATTCCTAGTGGATAATCTAGGAAACATAACTTTATTCTAAAGCTAATTAGTGTTTCCAGTGCAATATATTTTCGTTGCGGTTTTACTCCAAGTCAAGAAGTCTGAAGCAGGGGTGGATTTAGGGGGGCAGAAGGGGGTTCACCCGAACCTCCTTCGCCGAAAAATTACACTGTATATATAAGGCAAAATCTATTTTTTACCTCTATATATTATGT